GTAAAATTTGATAAAATTTAAAAAAAAAAGTATGGAACCAAATAAAAAAGGAAAACTGATGAGGAAGAAATGATAATTTAGTTTTCTTGAATTTAGAGTCATTTGGCTCATCTTCATTTTTACAATATAGAGAATACATTAATACATTAATACTTTAGGTAATTTAATGAACAACTATTGTAACAAAAATGAATTATATGTAAATTATTTTTTATATAAATATTATAATTATTTTTTATATAAATATTATATTTTTTTTTTTTATATATGTAGGAAACGAGTATAACTGTATTAATGGGCTTGTATTAAATTTTAATGACGATTATCAAGGTATGTAATTTAAAAAAATTTAAAATTTAAATTAAAAAAAATAATTAATATTAATTAATACATTATAATACATTAATACAGTTATACTCGTTTCAATAATACAATAATAATAATAATTGTAACAAAAATGAATTATATGTAAATTATTTTTTATATAAATATTATATTTTTTTTTTTTATATATATAGGAAACGAGTATAACTGTATTAATGGGCTTGTATTAAATTTTAATGACGATTATCAAGGTATGTAATTTGATTTGAATTTAATGTACCTAATTGATGTTTAGACAATATTGAAAATGTTCATCATTTAACAGAGTACAATGTTCCAGGAGAAGAAAATAAGATCTTACAGAAGGAAATTGGAGTTTTGCCTTATTTGAATAATTATTAATTAAAGTTACATTTTCAAAGGAAAACTAAATTTGTTTAATTTGTTAGATACTTAAATTAATAATATGTTTATTTTATATCAGTAAATTACATATAATTGTATACAAAAATACTAACTGCCTACCTATGTTATTAAAATAATTATTATAGGTGAGCTTGTTGATAACTGAGCTTTATGTATCTGTATTATATTTAGCTTTATTGATTATTTAGCCCTCTAATTATTATTATTATTATCAAATTAATTTTTTAATATATTACTTACTAATTATACATAATAATTACTAAAATAAGTGAAAAGTTAGTTACCAAAATAATAATTATTGTAATAATTATTATTTAATTATCATTTTTCGAGAATATAGGTCCAATACTTTATTTGACACAATTGTTTACATTCTGAGTGTAGTAAAGAATGTATTAGTTTTATAAAGATGTTTATTAATTTTTATATTTTTATATTCAATATAAAAAAATAAAAAATATAAAAAAATAAAAAATAATAAACATCTTTGTAAAAATAATACATTCTTCACTACACTCAGAATGTAAACAACTGTGTCAAATAAAATATTGATTATATCTATTATATCTACTTCTGAGCCAATGACTATGCCAAATGTCAATGTAAATCAACTTCTCCTGGGGACGACGTGTCTGTGGTCTTGTCCCTTCAATGGGCGCTTTTGGCTATAGTCATAGACATAGAATAGATCACAATGACCGTTTTAATATATGTATTACATTAAAACCAACATGTGTGCAAGAGAGACAATCGTAAATTATAATATCTTACTTTTACAAGATAATTTACCACTAAATTTGTAATTACCATAAATTAAATTACTATACTCATGGTTATACAAAGAGTACAATAAATTAAACCAATTTTATAAATAATACTGATAGTTGAAGGATCTATGTATGTTGAATGTGTATTTGTCAAGGATTAAATAAATAAGGTACCTACATAATAATAGTGTTTTTTCTATAAATAAATATTAATTTGTTCAATGTTAAGATATCAAATATTATTTTATTTTGAACATAAATAAGATAAAAAAAAATACTAATTATAATAATAATATTAGTATAAATAGTATACTATGACATTCAATGATAAGTAAAACTAAAAATATTTTGCAACACATCTTTAAAATAACATTATTATTATCATTATTCTTTATTAATAAAAATATTACAGAAAGAAAAATGTATAACATATCATTAATTGAAAGAAAATCCACATATTTACAAACAAAATTATGAAAAATCATCCGAGAATATTTCTCACAATAAATGCTTTAATTTTATTGTAAAAATAAAAATAATAATTTTTGAACAAATAGTTCTAACTATCCTGAACTAAACTATACTATACATATATCTGTATATATGATATATATACATATCTGTTTTATATTATTCACCAATACAATTGGTTGTGCAATAAACAGATAGATAGCATATTCAATATTAACATTTGGCTTTCATCCATGGAATGTAGTGTTAGAATCTTTGTCATTGATTCTTATGCAAATTACTCAAGTACTAATAAAAGTTGTAGCACACAGATGGTAGATGAGCTATCTGTCTTTAATAATATATCTGCCTAATATAAACAAGACATGAACAATGTAAAATATTAAAATTAATAAGTTATACAAGAAAAAACTAATTATTTTAATAAGTATTACATTAATATTCAAGAGCTTTTAAATAAATCAAAATGTTTAACTTATATTTAGTTAACTTTATTTTTTAATATATAGCAATCACTGTGAACCATTGGATCATTGCTATTTTAAACATAAATTATTATAATAAAATAAAATAGTTATGCGACTACAAAGATTAATAATTTTGTATAAGAGCTAAATATAACTTATCCTCATTCAAATTTATAATAGGTACAGTTAAAGACCATTATTGTTTTTTACGGGAATGTTGCAGACTAGAACCAATTGTACTATGTCCCGCATAATAATTAATAACAATTTCGGGGAACAAAATGTTGGCATCTTCAGCTAAAAATAAATTTGCTTCTTCAATCAACCGCCATTTTATTAAGAACATTGTTTGACCATTTTGTCTAGTAGCGCCGATAATTTTTTCGGCCTGCCTATTGAAATACTTGGGAGTGCTAAAATTATCTGCACTTCTAAAAGTTATCTTGTTCGGTTCATTTACTGCATCAACTTTTTTATTGTCATCACTTTTATTAGCTGCTTTGTCCTCTTCATCAACTTTATGACTCTTAACTCTTTTTGGTTGAGGTGGGGTAATTTCGGTTGTATCTTTAGATGTGCCAGCATCAGATGATGACTGTCTTAAATTATAACTAATATTAGTCGAATTCATTATTTTACGCTTACGTTCAGGTTTTCCTTTGGACTTCTTATTTTTTCGTTCCAGTTTACATTTTTTTTCATATTTCTCAATTAAATCAAAACATTCAAGATTTTCCACAGGCTCCCAAGTATTATGTTTGTAATTATAATTTTTCCATTTCAAAAAATACTCAACTTTTTTATTTTTCAACCGTTTATCTAAAATTTTTCCCACAATGAACTTATTCTTTCCTTTTGAACTCGACTCTCCAGCTGACTTTTTCTTATGTACAGTTTTTCTCGCTCTAGAATTAAAAACAAAATATATTTGTATACAAATTTAGAAATAAAAAGGGTACACATTATATATTTTTTTAAATAACAAATATAAAACGATTCATAATAGAATTCATTATTAACAATGGTGTACATAATATTTCAAAATTATAAAATTCATTGAACATAATAAATTCTTTTATATAGGATCTGTTAACTGTGTCTAGTGTTGGGTGTTTAAATAAATTAGAGAGAGGGAGAAAAAATACCCCCAACTCATAGATATTGTAATCATGAACATTTTTGATAATTATTAATAACTGTAATACAAAAAAATAATTACAAAACATTAGTAATATTAAGTACTCCTAAACGAATACCAGATAAAAAAAAAAAAAAAAAAAAAAANAGAGAAATTGATACTCTGATATAAATTATAGCCAACTGCATACAAAATTTTAGTTATTCAAATAAAATTTGTGCATTATAATTATTTTGATATGAGGAGAACAATTCAATAGATATATCTATATTACAGTGGTAAAACTAAATGCTTGAATTTTATATTTTTGTGTAGATTTCCTATTTATTTTTTTCTATTTGAGGATACATGGGCAATGTGACTGATGTAACGTCATCACTTTTTACATACATCCGAGAAAAATGCATAGAAATAGAAGGCAAAAAGAAAAAACAATAAATAGAACAAAAGTGAAAATACAAAAAAATAGTAAATAAAAGGCAGCAGTGTAAGAATTAACATTCTTCACTAAACCTTAAGATTTAAAGATGAACAAGTTTGCATTCAATTAATAAAAAAGAAGACATAAATAAATATGCATTTGTGAAAGTTTTTACTGAGGAAAATAAAATAATTTATTATTTAATTTGTACAATTTTGGTCAAGTGCCAAGAAAGATTTTATCGACATATTAAAAAAAAAAAAAATGTAACAAATATTTTTTAACAGATGAATCATCTATCCCACATACTCATGATAGAAATATAAAGGACACGCATGTGCTAACTCTTTATTATTATTTGATTATGAGGACTTTGATAACTATAAGGTCATTTTATAATAAACAAATAAATAAATATTATTATTATTACAAAGTAATTTATCAAAATTAAAAGGTAATACACAGTTCATATTTCTTAATATTTTTTGGTGATATCCATTATACCCCTAACTCCCTAGGTAATATCTACAGACCACAGTATCCGCAGGTACAGAGATACTATGGACAAAGCTAAGTTTAAATTTGTGACTGGATTCTGGAAAACTGTGTTATTTTAAAAGCTAATATAAAGGGAAATAATTTTAAGCTACCTGTATTAGATTCAAGAAAGAAAGAAAACAGCGTCTAAACCATCCCTAGTCTCCTACTGAGAACAAATTTGTCTAATTATATTAAAAAAGTCTCTATTTTCTAAAATGTATGGTAGATAATCGTCTAATAAGTTATATCTATCAACTAAAATGTATTATATTAAATGTGTTGTTGGTAATTGATGAATTTTCATCTCATTGTATGAAACATTAAGATACAATTATAATTATGTAAGAAAGAAAAATTTTGAGTTCCAAAAATCATAAATATTGGATAGTGGCGGATTTCCAAAATCATTTTTTTTTCTGTAGGTTTAGGTCCCCTCCCCCAGTAAATCCCGCACTGATATCAGGTATTGAGATGTGTAGATTTTAGGTAGATGCAAAAAAATCAATAAATCTTCAGTAACAGAAGTGACACACAAAGTTTTTTAGACTAAATATTGGTTAATCACGTGTTTCAAATTTATAAGTGGCCAATAAAATATCAAATTGATTGGTCTCAATTTGTTATCGAGTGCATAGAAATATTAAATTTTATATTAGCTATCCAATTCCGTAAGAAAAGGTATTTTTAGTTATTTATTATACCAAATCCAATTGTGTGTACACTTATGTTTTGAATGGTGTTAACTATAAAATCAAGTAAACACGGGAATTTAAAGTATTTCCCCTAGTTGTGTAAACTTACTTTGAAGACATTTTGATGATTGTTTATTATTCACTAAGTAATTTGAAATCACAAATAGTCTATATAAATTTAGACAGTTTGTCGTTTAGATAAAGAAATACAACGTAAAATAAACACTTCGACAGCACTATGTAATTTCCTTTTACCAGTGAAAAGCACGAAAAACAGAAGACACAAACTATACTGTCAACACTAACACAAAGATCGATCCATATTTCGAGTCGTTTGAGGTTAGGCAAATAGCCAATAAGACTTTTTATCGTCACCAAGCGTCGGGAAGGTTGGTAGTCTCTGGAAGAAAAATAAAAAATAAATATCCCCTAGTTGTACTATATACCTCTACACGGAGCCGTTTTAAAATCATATGGCTAGCCTGTCAACGTTCTTTACTGGGATACACGTCTCAGTTTTCCCGGTGTGATAAGAAACATAACCTCAACAAAAAAAAGTACCAACTATCACAAATTGAAAGTAAAATCCGCATGAATTTTATGTCAATGCAAGCCTAATGCAAGCGACTTTGTATCGCTCTATTTATGTTTTTAATTTTTGAACTTGTATTTTTTTTGTAGTATCAACTATACCTACTACAACTCCGTACTCCTATATTGGGCCCATTACAGTACCTACCTATAAAACCCGATTTTGAGAACTTTGTCTATCGACTCTCTGTATCTAATAATTTTGATTTCAGAGGTATAAATATCTTATATTTAGTATATTGAAAATAGTTTTTTTCGCCATTTTCTAAATTCAACTCCAATCATCAAAATGTATGATATATAATCAATAAATTATTATTGAAATACAAACTTTAGTATAAAATATAATTATCGGGCTCATAGTAGTTCTCTTAAAACTGATGACAAAAAAAAAATTTATCAGATCAGACAACAATCCTTAAACCTAAAATCCCGAGACCATTAACATAATGATAATTATATTTTATGTATAATACATTTCGGTGAATGTAGGCGACTTTAGAAAATGAAGAGAAAACTATAAATAAACTGAATATAAGACTTATATCTTTGAAATCAAAATTATTAGATACATAGAGTCGATAGACAACAGTTCTCAGTATTGGTTTGTATAGATAGGTACCTGTAATAATAACGATATTAAGTTGTAACTTAATATTTTTATGAACGGGAACTTTAAAATTCTAATTTTAAAATTGCAGGGATAAGGACTACAAATATTTAAATTTGAATTCAATATTTAAATTTTTTTTTAAATAATAGAAGAAGAAGAATTCTTATAGCTTTGATCTTGGCCTTCAATATTATTATACTTAGAGCTACTGTCTATTTGCATCAATGCTTGTATTATTTCTGGTTTATATTCTTCAATCAAGTTTAAAGACATTTCTGAATAAGTGAACGAACATTTGATAGACTTATTAGTAATTACCATAAATTAAATTACTATACTTATGGTTATACAAAGAGTACAAGAAATTAAACCAAAATGATCTATGTATGTTGAATGTGTATTTTTCAAGGATTAAATAAATAAGGTACCTACATAATAATAGTGTTTTTTCTATAAACAAATATTAATTTTTTCAATGTTAAGATATCAAATATTATTTTATTTTGATCATAAATAAGTAAAAAATAAGATAAAAAAAATACTAATTATAATAATAATATTAATATAAATAGTATACTATGACATTCAATGATAAGTTAAACTAAAAACATTTTGCAACCCATCTTTAAAATAACTTTATTATTATCATTATTCTTTATTAACAATAATATTACAGAAAAATAAATGTATAACATATCATTAATTGAAAGAAAATCCACATATTTACAAACAAAATTATTTAAAATCATATGTATATCATAACATTATGTTCTAATCAGGTAGTTTCAAGAATTTCTTTCCAAAAATTTACTCTGGAATTGTATAATAATCCATCAACCATACATGTATTGTCTCCGTCTAATGATAAATATTTGGGATCATTAGTACTTGTACTTTTCCACTCAACATTTAAATCCTCTGAATTTGGATTCCTAAAATCAATATAATTATGTATTAAACATATTATTTAACTTTTAAAAAGGTAATAGAAATACAGCGCAAATGTTAACGCTTTGCATTAAATTGCAATAAAATTAAAACGTACCCAGCTTTTGCAAAATTAGACCACAGCTTACATATTGTTTTGCACATTTTTAACTCAGAAGAATTAGCTTTTGGAGTAAATCCAAGTAATTGACTATGAAACATATAACTTAAATCATCCCCATGACATGCACCTAAAAATTGTTTGTTATACCTATATTATCTTTGTATTAAATAAAATATGTATATTGTCTATACATCTAATAAAATACAAAAATTAAAGTTTGGCTTTTTATTTCAATTCTTGATACAAAACAGGGTTAGGCATACTAGTGGTCTTTAACCGGTGGGTCACGACCCATTTTTGGGTTGCGATAACTTCTTTTAAAATAAAAATTAAATTTATAAAATTATATAAGGTAAAAGAATATCTTTTTAATTACTTAACTTAGAAATTTAATAAATGAAAACACAATTTAAAAAATGTTTTAGTGTATTATGTATCTAAAATACTATATAATTTAGTTTATAATATAAAATTATAATGGATTTCAAATCACAATATAATGTTTTATATTACACTGGTATATTTCTACGTAGTAAGGTATTGATTCAGTATTTTTGAATATAATAATTAGGAATAAACTGTGCTATTAAAATAATTAATATACATTGTTATCATTAGAGTAATCTACGAATCCCATAATTTATGAATATTATCAACATTGTTGCTGTGTTTAAAGACGATAAATGTTATTATTTTAGTCGTATTTACGTATCCGTTAATATTTTTTCGTTATTTAATAAAATTGATAAATTTGTTATTCGGAAAAGTAGTCAAATGAATACACATAAAGACATGACAACGTTATCATAGGTACCTTCATCTTCAAACGCGAAGGAATGATTATTATTCATGGAAAAAATTCAATTAATTATACTTAAATAAGTATTTAAAAAACACGAATACTTCATAGAGGGGTTTTTTTTTTAAACATATCCAACGAATAAAATTATAAAATTCTATGTGGAAATTATTAAAAGTCTCTTGTATGCAATCTGAGGGTATTTCCTGTTAAATATGATTCAATTTTCAAAGGAAAATATAAAACGCAAAAACGGATTTAATATAAATATACAATATGAAAAACCAACTGAATCATATTTATTATGATTTGCAGACCATCACCTACATTTATATCAGGATTGTGAGATGCAATTAGTAAATTTGTAGTATACCAAATATAGATTTTTTTTTTTTATTAAGATAACTGACTGGAGCACAATTTACAAAAATGTCAAAACAAAATACATTATGATACATAGTTAGGTGCAATTAAATAAGGAACATAAAAAAAAACGTTTAGTATTAGTTTAAGACTAATTTACAGTAAGGTTAATTAGCTAGGAAAAGCTCAAAAAATAAATATAAAGTCTAAAAGACTTATGATGGTTAATGTTAGATTAGCCTATAGTCTTATTGAGCAGAAACATACAACATTTTTACATATTGAATAGATGGATGGTATTGTACAGTGGAGGTTTTCCAGAGAAGGCATTTATGTAATTTTATTACACGTCATGTTTTTAATTTTATAAGCTACCTGCAATACTATACATACCTATATTATTACTTTTTAAAATGTAAATACATTACAAATATGATCATATTTTTATGGGATTTGTTTTACCAGGAAATTTTTTTTTTTTTTGCACACCATATAATATAATGATAAACAGAATCTGTTTACAGCCCCTAAAAAAACTCATAAATCACTTCTTTCATTTTTGAGTTTTTAAAGATATCTGTGATCACATCTTTATCTCTATAAACCACAAAAAAAAACAATAGTATCTCAACCAAAGACTTAGAAAAATAGTATTGTATAACATTAATATTAAATACTAAAATGGCAATTTCCAGCGAAAAGTCATAATGTGAGTTATTGTCTTACGGTTCAATTGTATTTATTTTTCCAGTGAAAATAGTCTCAACATATGTTTTAATTTGTATTTATTTTTCTAGTAAAAATAGTCATAACACCAATACAATTTTTTTCTTTAGCCGATTTTTTATGATCAACTAAAAGAATTACCNAGTTGCAACACTCTTTGTCGGCACGTCGAGATATACAGTTTTAATTAAAAACATAATAATTTATAACTATACTACACTGCTATGTAGTTAAATACAAAATTATTTATACATAATAAAACGAATAATTATAGCTAACGATGACATTTACAAAAATATCTAATAACCCTACCATTTCTAGTAATTTTTTTATTTTGCAATATGGAACTGGTTTACATATTCTAGTGTTTTTAATCAATTAATTTCCATTATTATAATTATATTTTATAGGTATTATGGTTTTCCAATAATTACCATTTTGCTCTTTAATAAAATATAATCTAAGACTTTCACTTTCACCCATTAGTAAACCTATACTACATTGACAATATTATTTATTACATCACAAAAATGTATTTTGTCAAGGGTTATTATGTATTTGTAACATAAAGTTACTCTTACACGGTTTGCATAAAAACGTCATTAAATATTTGTATTTTTTCTAATATGTAAATCTTCTTATTTAGTTTGTCACTAAAATATCTTAACCTATTACATTTAAATATTAAACATTTTGTTTAAATTAATTTTTTTTATTGATGGATAAGAAAAAGTACAAATTAAAATCACTTTAGATATTAGTTATCTTTTAAACAACAATTTTAAAATATTTTAATTACATACTGACACCACTATCAAAATTATTGACTTTAATATCTTCCTCATTTGACATTTCTGAAAAAAAAAAGATATAATCATATATTTTACTTGAATTTATCATTCAACTTTTATAATACATATCCTTAATATACCATTGGGGTGGGTTTCCTCTCCAATCATAGACCAAATCATGTCTTCATAGTTAAAATTTGTGTTGTCCTCATCATCAGTTCCAAAACTAGAATCAGATGAATCTGTTTCTATCATATCACTCAATAGCATTGACTTAATAGGTTTATTTTGCTCAGTAGACATTTCACAAGAATCACTATCGTCTTTAATCATTCTCTTCCCTAAAATCAATGTTGGTTAATAATTAAGTACAATTAGAATTAGGAGATCAGAACTTTATCTAACAAATTTTACTGAAATTTATGTAAACTTTATAGGTATAATTTTTAAAAGATATCATAAAAATGAGAGCTATTTGTGCACCTACAATTTTTTAATTTATGTGATTTATATCATTTATTTAAATGTTATAACTTAAAGCAATGTTAATTAATTGTCAACATACAAATGTAATTACACAAAAGAAATGAAAATTCTTTGGTAAAAATAATTGTCAGTAAAACTTAATATTTCAAAATATTCACACAAGCGTGAACTATGTCACAAACTTACATGCATTCTTTGATTTTTGATTTTTCTTTGATCGACGTTTATTCTTTGGTTTACTGATAAATTGTTGAACTGGAATTTCAACCATATCATGTAGTATATTTTCATTTTTACCAGGGAATGCTACAGTTTTTCTATTTTTAAATTGTGTTTGTTTCAAAGAAGAATTCTTATAATTTTGATCTCCGCCTTCAATATTATTATACTTAGAGCTATTTTCTATTTGCATCAATGCTTGTAATATCTCTGGTTTATATTCTTTAGTAACTTCACGACCTAAAGACATTTCACTCAATTTATTAATGTATGTCAATTCACTACGCATCTGATCTTCCATTAGTTTCAATTTACTGAAGGGATCAAATACATTGGATTCTTCATACTTAATTTTAAAATAACGGTCGGCAGCACGGCCTAAATGTTTACGGATTTCTCGTCTCGGATAATTCTCCTAAAAAAAAAATGTATACAATATATATATATTTACATAATCATTAAAGTTGTAAACATGTTTCATCAAAAAAAAAAGTGTATAAATTCTTACTTCTAAGCAGGGACTGACAGCATTTGAACAGATTATTATTTGTTTTTTAATATCTAAATCATAAAAATAATAGGCAGGGTGTACTAGGCCTTCATTAAGACACTCATCAACCAACTTTTTAGTATTATTATAGTCTAGAGGTTCCATTTTTATTTTTACTATATATGTTTTTAAAGGTTGTGTTTTATACAGTGTGTATAATAAGTAAACAGCTCCTATTCGTGCTTCTTTTGAAGATGACCTCAAAAACTTGGAGGCGATTGCAAGAGCATCCTGTGTAGTTGAAATGTAGTGGTGAGGAGAAACAAAATTTTGTCCTACTTTTTGTTTTTTTTTTTGTAACATGTAATAAATTTGATGATATTGAGAAGTATCAAAACATTCTAAAAATGAATCGTATGTGAATTTTTTGCTTTTGACAAATAAATCAATCAAGTTAAAAGAATCAATGAATAAGTTTGAATAGTGAAGACGGAGTTCTCTTGTAATTCGTGCAGTAGTTTCAAATTTAATTTTTCTAACACCAAAAACTGCTTCTGCACTAAAATCGTCATCACTGCTCAAATCACTGTATTCAAATTCTGACATTGTGTAATGGCCTGTAAACAAAGTCAAATTGAAATAATTATAAATTATTAAAGTTTGTATATTATATTTATAAATTATAAGGAGCTTAGCCCCTTGCTCACTTCGCTTGTCATACTCTGTAACTTGTATTATATGGTTTTGTATATAAACTATAAATATCAAAAGTAAAATATTTATAATTGAGAGATTATAAAACGATGTTTAGTACAACATTGTATTTGTAATCTATTTATTATCTACATAAAAAATTGTTTTAATTTATATGTCTTCCGTGAATCTTACATTTTATTTACGTACTTAGCTAATCATTTATTAATTATTCTTTAATTAGTAATTACTCAAACACTATATTATCATATTTATAATACAACAATATTTACCTAAACATAATCAATGCAATCAATAGTAAACTTAGCCCTCCTTCAATGGAAGGGGGGCTAAAAGAGCTTCAAAAAATAATTAAAAATAATAATGAATAATTTCCAATCTTTCTAATCAAATAATAATCATTTTTCATTTGCACTACTTCACTACTTATTTAACTAAGTACAAATAATTGTAGTAGTTACACAATTATGTATTTTGCAAAATAACTTCAAGAAAGAGATAATAATATATACTTGTTTTGCTTGAAGTGACTTAAAAAAAAATTTAATGATAATAAATATTATGTATACATTAAACTTAATATGTTATTTAGCACAACGTATTGGAAAATCTCGTGTACAACATTGCTGGCAAGATGCAATATTGATACTTAGATAACAACAGATTTTGGAAAAATGTCTTTACATAAGGGTTTTTCGTTAAGATTCAAATCCGGGAAAATACATATATAGTCCCGACACAACTATTCAAGTGAATTAGTATCACTGTAGATAAATACGTACCGGTTTCGAAATAATAAAAATCCCTTGAAAAGCTTGAAACTAAAAATTTGACGTAGATAGGTAATTAAACACGAATGCAAATTAAAATCGTTTCATCTTCCCACTTTTTATTAACATATTAAGACACCGGAAACGAATAATTATGTCCATTGATATTGTATTATCACTGTGTTAACGCAATGTCTATGGCTGAACGGTCGAGGTCTGCCCCTCGGGTCCATATCACGTTTTAATGGAGAGTGGAACAATGTACCGCGACGACCGGTAGACGTCAGACGACAGTGTACCGAAATTACGCAGCGTGCACTCTAGAAGTTCGTTGGTATAAACCGGTGTACCATGGGTGATTCCGATCTATGTGATACGGGTATGCCAAAACGGATCGGTACAGTGCACACCGGTACGCAGAAGGAGGACCGGTAAAGATGTTGACGCCGATTCGTTCACACTGGCGTGCGATACCGATTCGGACATTATGGTACCGGTTTTACAAGTAATTTGTTGACTTGTAATTGGTACAAAATGTCATTATCCCCGTTACTATGGTCCACAGTTATTTGTTATCACACAGTACACTTTTCTATGTTATCACGGTTTCCCCTGAATAATTCGAACATTACTGAATTTTTTTCCAGAATGTTTATTCCAATAATATTAGAATGCTGAATGATGAGTTTTAACAACAGTACAATATGGATCACTACTATAATCCGGGTGACCAAACATAACCTGACCAGTGAAATTAAAATACACAATACATAATTATAATAATGGAAATTAATTGATTAAAAACACTAGAATATGTAAACCAGTTCCATATTGCAAAATAAAAAAATTACTAGAAATGGTAGGGTTATTAGATATTTTTGTAAATGTCATCGTTAGCTATAATTATTCGTTTTATTATGTATAAATAATTTTGTATTTAACTACATAGCAGTGTAGTATAGTTATAAATTATTATGTTTTTAATTAAAACTGTATATCTCGACGTGCCGACAAAGAGTGTTGCAACTCACTTTTTCCAAAATATTCAGAAAAACAAATGTAAATATTTTAATTCTGAATTAAAAAAAAAAAAAAATTAATCTATTAATCTGTTAGGTTCTTTCTTAAATCCACTTATTTCATTTTTAAGTAGGTAATTCTTTTAGTTGATCATAAAAAATCGGCTAAAGAAAAAAATTGTATTGGTGTTATGACTATTTTTACTAGAAAAATAAATACAAATTAAAACATATGTTGAGACTATTTTCACTGGAAAAATAAATACAATTGAACCGTAAGACAATAACTCACATTATGACTTTTCGCTGGAAATTGCCATTTTAGTATTTAATATTAATGTTATACAATACTATTTTTCTAAGTCTTTGGTTGAGATACTATTGTTTTTTTTTGTGGTTTATAGAGATAAAGATGTGATCACAGATATCTTTAAAAACTCAAAAATGAAAGAAGTGATTTATGAGTTTTTTTAGGGGCTGTAAACAGATTCTGTTTATCATTATATTATATGGTGTGCAAAAAAAAAAAACTTCCTGGTAAAACAAATCCCATAAAAATATGATCATATTTGTAATGTATTTACATTTTAAAAAGTAATAATACACAATATATAAATTATGTACAGTCAGCTCATAAACATCAAATAAATAAAAGTAATAATATAGTAATCATGTATATTATTGCAGGTAGCTTATAAAATTAAAAACATGACGTGTAATGAAATTACATAAATGCCTTCTCTGGAAAACCTCCACTGTACAATACCATCCATCTATTCAATTATTTGGTTTAGATATAAATTAAATTTCTCCTCTAATTTCCCAATTTCTCACCTGTGACGTGTAAAGAATGAACTTTGTTTTTTTTTTTTTTCTATTTGTAAACAACTTGTATGCTAGAAATCTCACTCTAATCCAATAAATGATAAAAGATCTTTTTTGTTGAATTTTAAAACCCTCTGGTGCATAGAAGAAGTTTTTTTTTTTTAATTTTCATAATTGAGTAAAACCAAAAACATAGATATAGGAAAACCAAACAACTTTACAGCATTAACTATTTCAATATTTCAAACATTTTCCATTTTATTATCCTACTAGAAATATTGTCACATATAGAAATTACAATTATAAAATACTCGCAATATGAATACAATGGTGCATTTCTTGAGAGCATAAAGTTTATAACGCATAATTATGTCCACCCTCATGTCATTGTTTTTTTTTTTTTAGAATTTTTAGGTAATAAGATATTTAAAATTTGCTTTTTCCATTTAATGTTTTTAAATTTAAATATAATTCAATTTTGTTTTACATGAAATAATATTTAACACCATCCATTTCATTTTTTTTTTTTTTTGCAACATTTACCTTAATAATAACAGTTAGGAGAGTTAAACGCTTAAAAATAATCAGAAAAAGGTTTTGAGACATACAGAAAAAAAAAAAACAGGTGGAGTAGATTGTGGTTGTGTTTTCAGTGTAGATAGCATAGGGCTCGAGTTCGATATTTAGTTATTATTAATATTTTTACCTGTTTTTTACTACATCAATCCCGGATAATTTAAAAATTTTCCAGACTAATCAAAATACATAAAACAAAAACATTAATACTATCAAAATTTAATTTTCAAAACATAAAAAAAAAAATTGATTATAAATAATTTACTTGGCCTGTCAGTGTACAATAATTTTAAATTGCTTAGTAGTGAGTGTTGTGTATAATATTTCAGTATTTTTTTTTTTTATACTCTCTTAATAGTTAAGAAGACTCCGTTCTCACATGTGCTTTTTCTGTTTTTAATCAGTGATGCTTGAGATACCTAATATTATCTTGTTTAATAATTTAAATTTAATAGAATACCAAGTTTCCCAAATAATATTCATAATTTATTATATTTAGATTTGATAATATGTCAATTGACTATAATATTAAAACAGACAATAGGTACAAATTGTCCCTGTAGAATTCTGAAATCATGATTTCAAGCAACAACAATCTTTCGAATCTCTGATTTTGGTAGGCTAACCAATTCTACCAACTTTCAAACAACATATATATAACCTGATTCAAATAATGCCGTCACAGATATTTGGATCAAGTATACAAGTATATATACGTTTGATATCAAATTCACTGAAGTGAATTTTATTTTGGTAAACAAAAACGATTTTTTTTTATCAAAAAAATAAATAATTTTTTATTTGTTTCAAAAAAAGTGTACAAAGGCGATTTCAGGAAGCGATTGTACACTTGCACACATTTGGACTAATAGACACAAAAAATTATTAGTTTTTTTCTTAAAAAAAAAAAGATGAAATTATAATTAGAAAAAAAAAATAAAGTTTAACTTAAAATATGTATAAATAAAATATAAAATATACAAAATAATTATTAAACTTTTATAACATTGCACATTAATATAAAATAATATGCTTACATACATTATCAAAAAATACTGATAATAGCTGTCAACAGTAAACCAGTATAACACAAAATAGATCAAATAGATTTGATATATTCTGTGATAAGAACTTCACATAGTACGTACATATACAAAATATCTATCATTGATTTCATGTAATTATCTTAAGTAGAATTTCATTTTGGTTTTTCAACTCACTGGACTTTACAGAATCGTGTTTATTATTTTGGGGGAGTAAGCACGATTCATTTATTTGTTTCTGGTAACATTTTAATAAAAATTATTATTATTTTTTTTTAAAATTAATAACCATTTTTAAATAATATAATAATAAATAATTGGATGAAAAATTTAGTCAAACTCACAAATTTTAAATTACGCTGTACTAATAATAATAGTATGTATAAAAGAAAAAAAATTTACAAAATAAAATGAAATAAAATAATATAAATATCTTGAATATTTTTTTCCAAATAAAATTTCAATAAAATATAAATAAAACGTGTAATATTATATATTTTTTTTTTCTTAATTTTCAAACAGACTGTTTAAGGAAAAACCCAGAGATCAAATGAAATCATTTCTAAATATAGTTTATAATGTAATAAAATTAATAAATCTTGAAAAAAAAAAAATACATTTATATAAATTGTCTACATAATAAAATCTTAAAAACATTTCAATTTTTTTTTTTTTTTTTTTTTTGTAAAATTTGTTTTGTTGTTTACTTTAAAAATAATATAATATATATTTATTATATACAAATTAATCTACAAAATTACATTGTTTTTACAACATTCAATAAGAATTGCAACAGGTTTCAGTCGACCTGTTCTTCTTTTAAGTACAAAATATTTAATAATATTTGAATTTATTTTTAACCCTAAAACCTTGGTCATAATTTTCTTGACTTAATGATGACAACTTAATCCATTGTAGACAAACTATCTGTATGTTCCTAAATTAATGGCACCAATATTTTCTTCTTTAAATTGTAAGTCCCCAATGATATATCCCCCACTGACCATGTTAAAAAAGTGGTTGAGGTAGCATGATAGATTTTTTTTTATCATTTTTATGTATCAATTATTTTAAA